TCAAATCTGTTTGATTGTGCAATCCAGCATTCTCACACATTTATACACGTGTGAATTCAAACTGCATTTTCAGTGCCTCCACTGTGGGGGTTTCAAGCAAAGGTTTTTCATATTTCTCACCTTCATCACTCTACCATCTGTGTACCCACTGTTCAGGGAGCCGCACATCAAAGGGCATGCCATGTTTTGGGAGCACGCAATGTGCGATCAAGGCATCAGCGACTGCAGCATTTTGAGTGTACACATTTAAAATGCCCACATTCATTTTCCATTCATCGTCTCCGTCCACCACGACCGTGCACGTACCACTTGATGTTGCATGGCAGCAGTTGACTGCCAGTTCAAACTAAACCACGCTGCAGTGTGGCGTACACAATACGCGGCGGACCCAGTTGCTTCCTTGCGTTAGTTTGCATCCAGAAGGAGCCACCGTCGGCCAGCACGTAGCCCTGGATAACACACGGTAGAAGCACATTTGGGTGATTGTAGATTGTAAGCAGAACTTCTTGGGATCTTCAAAAAAACCTGCACGAATGATCAGACACGTGCCGATACGTCGTCGTTCGAACAGCCAAGCAGGTTTGGCCTGCTGTATTCAAGAAATGGTGGTTTTCTTGGAGTGTGGGTGCTTCAAGGAACCATGGAAAAGGCGTCAATATTGTTATTATTGTAGCTGGGAGATAACCACTATCTGACCATGCCACAATTGAAAATGATTGTGTGGCATGGCGTTATCTTGGTCATCGGTCAGTGTTTTGATGGTAATCGCTTTATAGTATTGTGGTACTATCTAACCGGTCTCGTACAGTAGTTTATTTTTGTCAACGACAACACGAACCTAGTAGAGTGTGTAAACACGCACTGGTGTATTTGCAGTGCAGATATCTCTTGTACAGAATAAAAAAAAACAGCATTGCGTCACTCAAATCAAGTGTCACTTCTTGCAGAATTGTATTAAGTCACGCTTAAGAAAAAGTGTTGCTTTTTTTAAAATACGTTTGTATCTGGTTGAAATAACGACAGTTTGTCTTATACGCGATCGTGATAGATGTTTCTTAGAGTACTGTGATGCAATAACTATATGTTTATCCTGTTTTGAAGTTACTAAAATTGAAAGTACTGTAAGGTCTGTAAAATGTGCCCGTTTTTGGCTATTAATCTTGTATCTGGTTGACCTCCACTTATACTTGGCAGCAGTCTCAACATGCCTGAAGGAAAACATTGAAGCCCTGTTCCTTGTCATAACTTATTTTTGTCCATTTACATCGAGTGGCATATCAGGCATTTTCTTCTTTTCAGGACCAAAGCATTGATCATTTAAAGTTTCCCTTGTAGTAATGTTAAGCACCGCAGGGTTAAATGCGTTCGTGTCCTTCTGACGAATGACTCATAAACGGTCACTGACAAGTGGACCTGCCACACCAATCCGGGGAGTACATAGCCGAGGCGAACCCATCGCTCTGATGCAGAAACTGTGTAATAATGTGTCAGGGCGGATGGTGTAGGAGTGCGCATAAGGGCGGCGGAGTTACGATAATTCTGCCTGCGAGCGTAACATCATTGGTCTCCTCCTAGGTCCCTCTCCGCCACCGCCACCGGCCCTGTTATCTGATCTGGAGGCACACCAGCAATGCCGGCCAAAATGACATCCGATTATTCAGAGAGTGACAGAGATGGAAGGGCTCCATGTTTGGAGGTGGACAGCAGATTAATGTTCACGAAGGGGGCTCTCTGAGGAGCTTGGGACCCACGTGACGCATGGCTGTGTTCTTTTAGAACAAGAGGGCACAAAAGCCTAATGGAACCTCATATGATGCTGTTTATGCGTTTCTCAATGCTTACATGCATGACATATATTTGCAGTTATTGTACATACGTAGCCCTTTGTCAATCCACTGCTGGTTACAGGTTATTCAATGCCGTATATATACGGCATCAAAAAACACAAAAGCAGCTCGCGACTAATGTATATGTGCATGTTTTATACTAAAACACGGATATGCACATACATAGAAATGCATATGAACACTTACGGAGAGTATTAGTAGTCATTCTTGCGATTAAGGCTACTGCTAAACATCTGGGGAAGCCAAACTTGTTATTTTTATGTTGTAATTTTGAAAGGATGTTACTGGTAGGTTTCTTCAGTAAATGCAAGGCTATCTGCTCATACAAGAAAAAAAACAATTGAGATACATTAATTACAAATATAAAAACGGAGGAAAAACAGAGTAAATAAATATGTAAGCGTTGAAAAGGATAAGAACACCAACGATTCCTTTTGTTTATTTTGGTACCAATAGTTAGCCAATGAATTCTGAAACGTTCGAGCATAATTGCAAAAGACGTTTTGATAAATGCGATGCATTTTTCTTGAGAGTCACAGTTGAAAACAAAGTCTGCAAATGGAGTTATGGCCGGTTGTGAAAAACAACAATGCTGGTGTAATAGGATCAAGTCCCGTCACTGGTGGGGAATCTGCTCGCCCGGGTGGACATGACTGAATGAGGCCAATTTTTCATATGTTATGAAGCATTTTTGTGTGCAGCTCAGCCAAACAGCTGAGCACCAGTTATTGCCGGAAAAAACGGGGAAAACCTCATTTAAAACACTTAATATAGCCGTTCCAACAATTTAGGGAAATCTAATTGACTTTTTTTTTTCATTATATGTCTGTGTTGACATGGGGAATTATATAGGGTATGCAATATATACCGTGAGCGTACACGGACTGGGGCGGATGTGTGGGATAGCACGGGCATGGTCATAAGTGTACAGGCCGCCATCTCATGTTGTTTGTTCACTGCAGATTGGGGAACACATATAAGAGCATTCTCAAATTTTTTATATTTTGTCTTACGTGGAAACTCCTACTTTTTTGGTCATGTGACATGGGGTTTAAAAAGTAGATGTGAATATGATGTGCTGTGTCGTGTTTGCAATGGTTTTTGTTGGGCCACTGTCACGAAATTACTGCACGATCTTTAACAACCAATGCATACTAATTTTTTAAAGTTTGTCATTAAAAAACAATTATCGTAATTTACAACACATTTTGTGAATCCACTGCTGGATGAAGGCCTTCCCACACTCCCTGCCGTTCATAGGGGGGAGGGTGGGTGGTTGTTCGACCTTTTTATTGAGTTTATTTTACCAGGTAAGGCCCACTGAGCGAGATAGCTCTTTTTTGGCAACAAATGACAGCTCAACGAAGCGGCTTAGCACGTGCAAATGTATAGCAGCCAAGTGCTCTAAACGCGTGTTTCTAAATATGAAGGGGAAAAGCCGAGGACACCAAGAAAGATCGACGCGACCATGGGGAGAACATACAAACTTCAATTATGCAGGCGTCAGGGTCGGGATCGAACCCACGACTTGCATACCAGGCGAGGGAGTTAACATCGCTCCACCGCGACCATATTTTACGACACTGGTCAGTGTGGATTGGAGAGGGTCGGCAAAGCCAGGGCGAGTTCATTCGACTCAAATCTGGTCAGAAATCAAACTCGGGTCGCCAGGTTCATAGCACAGCGCGCTAACCACTGCGCCACTCCCCCGCCCTTGCTTATATTTCTGTTACTGTGATTCACGACAAGCAAAATGGTCTGGTTACCAAAAATTACTTATTCAGCATTTGCTTTGTTTACTGGATTGTATTTTCTTACACCTTTGTTATAAGACACAGGCGCAATGCGCGCTTTGTTGTAACGTCCGACACTTAGCTGGTGTGCTTGTGGGCTTCAAAAAGCAGGTAAAGCGGTGCATATTATGCGCAAGAATACATGGGCTCTTGCTTTATATTGGTCGCTGGCCATGGCAGGTTGCTGTTACGCTTCGGTTACCCCCCCACTCTCACATGCACACAGATACGGTACACGGGAATACACACGCGCGCACGCACACGCGCACACAAGCAAAGAGCGTATATTCAACTAAACATGTATTTTTATTTTACCAGCTAAGGCCCACCGAGCTATATAGCTCTTTTTCAGAAGCGACCTCGCTGCAAATGATAGCTCAACGAAATTGGCTCGTCGTCGTGTGGAAATGAATAGCGGCCAAAAAATCTAAACGCACGTTTCCAAATGTGGAGGGATATATTCACGCACAAACCCGCACTTTTCTCTCTCTCGCTCGCTCCCTGTGTGCGCAACGAACACAACAACAATTGCATGCACACACACAAAAAGACACGGTCTCGCTCACTCAGTTGCATTGACAACGTACGCGTTCACTCGTATACAACATGCGTATATGCGAGCAGGCATTGCGCACACACGCGCATACACGCACGCGCGCACACACACTCGCATACGCACACACACACGCGCGCATACGCGCACACACACGCACACACACGCACACACACACGAGCACACGCGCAGAGCTCCCACGGCGCTCAGCAGCTCGGAACAGACCCCTCCCCCACCCTCCCATTCCCCTCCCCTTTGTCACACCCTTAAATCTGGCAGCGCAAGAATTCCAGCAGGCATGCGTGGGCCACGCTGTTTAGAAAAGGGCCCGGCTTTGTTTGGCAACTACCCTTTGGAGTTTACCGCTAATAGTTCTCACTGATCTGCATTTAATCTGGTTTTAGTGGGGGAATAAACTGAAAAGGTCCAAAAGAATATGTAAACATATGCATGAGATGCCCAATAAATAAATACGTGGCATATTCACGTCGACATTTAACGTTTCAAACCCCGGCAATCCTCGTTCACATGTTTTTTTGCAAATGCTCGAGCCAAAAGCTTGGAAGCACATTACGTTGCACCGGCTTCAAAACATAAATCTAAAACTCTGCTTTGCTTCAACTGTTTTCATCGCCTTAGTTTTCAGCGCTGAGCCAATGAATATGGAGTGTGTCAATCATTCCACAGGGATATAATGCCAAACAGTTGGCTACCTGCAACAAAAAAACAATGACGTGCAGTTGCTTGTCCATGTAAAAACCGGGTAAAATATTGACCAGTTTTTTGTTGTCGTTTTTGGGGTCACAGGACAGGTCCACCAAGATGCAGTGGACACCAGAGCACTCCCAGCACCTGCCGCACTGGCAGGGCCAGCGCTTCGACATGCCATCCGGAGGCTCTCTACCACTCCACAAGGCAGAGGGAGCCTTCCGCGGACACATCCAGCACTTCCGCTACTCCTGGGCCAATGACAACATCTCAGAGCTCACTGCGTCAAATCTGCTCAAGAAGTACGCGGAGAAGTACTCGGAGCACCCCGCCCAGCCCCCACGTCTCGACGAATCCTCCTTGGCGCTGCTCAACGGGCAGAAGCAGGACGGGGCGCAGTGGCAGACGCCCCTCGACGAGGCGTACAGCATAAACTGCACTCAAGACGCTGTTTGCACTGGGAAAGCCAGCAGCGACGCCCCGCTACCACCCGCCGGTCCTCTTGCCATGAACTCACCCATAATGGCTGGGACGATGTCAGGACCGAACTACCCTGTGCCCGACGGGCGCAACATCTCGGGCTCACATCCGGCGGCGGCGGCGGCCAACACGCAGGTGTACTCCGCCGGCTACAGCAACGGCTCCTACCCTTCGTCCAATTTCTGCACGACGTCGGGCTCCACGCTGCCCTCCCCGCGCCCGTCCCCGGCTCGCAGCGCGGGCATGATGCGCTCCGAGCAGACGAGCACCACGGCGAGTATGATGCCAGGCACGCAGGCGTATTCGTACTCTTCGCCGCCATATGGGCCGCCCGCGCCCTCGCAGGCCACCAGCCCCGGGTACAGCCCCAGTGGGCATCACATCGCGTCGGGCTACATGCCGGCCCAACACAACGTTCCTCTGTCATCGACGACCATGCCGGTATCCAGCTACGTTTACCATCAGGCTCACGGCTCACCCTCCTCCAACCCTTCAGGTGTCGGCCTGAGTGCTGGTAGCAATCTGAAGAGGAAAGCGTCATTTATGTCTGAGGATGGCGACAATGACTCTGGATACGGTAGCTATGGTTGCAAACAGCCGTCCAGCTCCTTCACGAGCCAGATGTATCGACCCTATGACGGTTACGATGGTGCAGACACGCAGAGCCTCGGGGTGGGTTTTCAGCCGGTGACGCAGCCCCAGAGGCAACTGGCAGCCGAGCAGCCGCTGCGCAAGTATGGCGTCGAGCCAAACCACACCATCCACCATCAATCGTCTTCACAAGGGCCTGTTAAACAATCGTTAGGACCAAATAGCGATCATTTCAGCAGTAAATTTATCCCCTCTGCAGTAACACCTGAAAGCAGCGGTGAATACAGACATGCCGCGCCATGGCCCCTTTATCACCAAGACGCAGGTGCAGTTCCCTCCCATGAGCCGTCTGTGGGAGAGAGACTTAAAAACATAGAGCCGAGCTTAGTGGAACTCGTCACACGTGAAATGCTGGATACCAGCCCACCTGTTCACTGGGATGATGTGGCAGGGCTGGAGCAGGCCAAAAATGCCATGAAAGAAAGTCTGGTGTGGCCAATGCTGAGACCAGACGTGTACTCTGGAGACACCCTAAAAGTTGCATTGCTTTTTGGGCCTCCGGGGTCAGGCAAACGCCTGCTGGGCAAATGTGTAGCCGGGCAGATGAGCGCGAGCTTTTTCCGTGTAAGTGGATCAGCCTTGGTCTCCAAGCGTGCCGTGGAGAGCGAGAAAACTCATCGACGCAATGTTTGCAGTGGCAATGTGCCACCAGCCCTCGGTAATTTTCATTGACTGCATTGAAGCGGTGCTCGCGCAGCAGGCTGACAGGGACAACGAGGTGAAGAGAGCGAGGGCAAGGCTTCTGCTGCATTTGGATAGAATAAGATTAGCCTCAGGTGAGGATCCAAAGGTGGCTCTAATTGGTTCAGTGTCCCACCCAAAGGAGTTAGACGACGCGACCCTCGGATGGTTTTCAAGAACTGTCTACGTGCCCCCGCCGGACGGGCCCGCACGACACCAGATACTCCTGCGGTTTCTGTCGCGCCGCAGCTACTCGCTCAGCCCCGAGGAGATGGTGCTCATCTTGAGCAGAACGGAAGGGTTCTCGGGAGCAGACATGGCCAGCCTCTGCTACAAGGCCTTCATGCAAGGCCCCGTGCAGGGTTCCAGGACTCCAGACTTACATGACCCTTCACGGCAAATCATGTACACAGACTTTGACAGGGCCCTGCGTGCAGTAAGAGCAAGTGTGTCCCAAAAAGATGTAGAGATGTACGCCGAGTGGAATAAACAGTATGGCAGTGGACAGGCATAATGTGGCAGGCTGATATGGCCATGAAGTGTAAACCTTCGTGGTGTCAATTTTAAGTCTCAGGGTTTTAACAGTTGCTCTCTGTATAAGCTGCAATTTAAAAAAAAAGTTGATATGGATTGCAGTGGAATTAGTTTGTTTAGAAGTTATATATATATTTAAACAAATAAGACAGTAATAATAATGTAAGTGGCACATAAACATAACAGATCGTCAGATTACCAAATATCCATCAGATTATTCGTTGGCCTTAGGACTCGGTCCAAGTAAAGGCATGGAAATGTTGCAGGGGCTAGGCACGTTTCTTGATTCAAGTTGTGCAGTAGACAATGGCAAAGGTGAACTTTGCTTTATAATCAAGTCTGTCAACAAAACATAATCCCTGAACCTTGCCCAATTACAACAGTATTCACGGTGTCTCAGGAGCACTCATTGTTATTCTTTGCCTGTGCTCATTATGTGTTGTTTATTTTTTAAAGCAGCAAGAGAACAGAAAGCGAGATGAAGTTAAATGAAAGCTTTAAAACTCAGTATTAAAGCCCAATCGCTAAATTATAGTGTTGCGAAGTGCCTGAACAGGTTTGCTACATTTAGTTTCTTGAATTATTTCCGAAATATAGATCTAATTCACAGCTTTAAATCCATTTTTAAATGAGTCAACTGCAAATCATAGGGGGATGAAACAAAATAATCACAGCGATAGTCAAGCATAAGCAGCGGCCTCAATATTTTATGTGACAGGCATGTTTTCACTCTCGTCAGCTCACTTGCCTGTGTTGTGTAATTTGAGACATAAGCTAGCGATAATCCTGCCTGAGAATCATTATCTCAAGATCACTTGAAATACTCAGGAAAGCGAAAGTATATGAGTTTTCACGAAATGAATAAGCACTGTAAAATGGCCGAGTGTTTTTTTGGCAAACAAATTTCACCCCTTCTGAAAATGTAAGATAATGTATTTGTTATTTGCGTTTTAGACAGATAATGGAACTGCATTTGCATTTCTCAAAGCAGCGCATGCTGCTGGATTATCCAAATCCAACATGGCCTTTTGCTTTTGTTTTGACTGTAGGTCATGTGACTTCAAACAAGATTGGTGCAGCAAACCAAAGCAGATCTGTTTTGGGCTGTCAACCAACTGTCACTCTGACTCAACTTTTCAGTAAACTGCACGTTTGCAAAAAGCACTTTGCAACATTTTTACAATGCTCTACCACCAGTGCAACACTCAAAATGCAAAGCTTACCTCAGAATGAATGTTTTGAAAGGCACTATGTAAAAAAAAACTGCTTTTGTTTCATACTACACTTTCGTTTACCTCATTACTTGAAATAATAGGTGGGTAACAGAAAGATTGACACTGAATGTATTATGTAGGATAAATTCAAGCTTTCTGTGTGTCCGATGCTTTAAAACGTAGCTTATACCAAGTGAAGGTTTTGTCCTGCAGTGCTGTGTAGACTTTAATAGAATATCATCATTGATGTTAGCCATTTTGTACTGTGTGTGTGGGGGGGGGAATATCAGTCCAGTGATTGGCCATGACTCACAGCATCACCTCATGATACATTTGCTGCATAGCTACCCAACCGACCGTTCTCCAGGCGCAAAGGTCAGATGACCACCATTACTGTAATAAAGCTAAAGATGGGGCTATTGAATTGTAGTCATTAGCCAAAATGATCCAAAAACTCCTCGACCAATAGCACGTGCAACCTATAACCTTTGGCTGTTGACCTTCACATGCTGCCTGTCTTCTATGTTACCCAATGGGATTGCCCGGCAAGCATAGGGAGGGCCGCGATGAAGTGGGCGGGAGCATGCGCACGAGAAGGCTGGAGCAAAATCTGTGTGGCACAGTTGAAAGGTCAGAGTTCAGAGTGCAGCAAGTAAATGGTATGGAGGAGAGGTGCTCGGCCATTGGTTGCATCCACTGGTGACAGCTGATCAGCTGAGAGCCATATATCAGGAACATGGCAGAGGACAGTAAACATTCCTGCTGATGCTCGTGGTGGGAGGGGGGGGGGGTATGAAGGTGGCCGTGGGCTGACCAAATACAGAATACTAATAGACTTATATTGGGAAAAGAAGCCAGTTTTAAGACATCTATGTCTGCGTGTACTGCCCGACTGCTTTTTCTACAGATTAGCTTGGTCACGCACTTCGAAAAATATAGTTTGTGTCTAATTTTTAGTTGTCTCCCATAACGGGCTTTATTTTGAAATGAAATAACGACAGTGCTGCACCGTTATTTGAATAGAATTACACAGGTTATGCTCTACATTAAAAAAACTCTTATTAGTAATCATATTCTATTATTATTAGTATGTTGAAATTTCTCAAACAAATGCAAGCTCTGTACACAAACACAAAAGTCTCATTTAGCTGGAGCTCTACGATGCTGCAGTCACAATGCAGACTGAGACAAAAGAAGCTTTCAGCTCCTCTTTCCGTGGGGTTGCCTGGTTTCTAACATCCACACACACAAAAAAGAGTGAAAAACAGGAACCCCTTCTTTCAGGTCTTAGCAGGACATCTGTGATCCTTGCAGTTCCTGCACGCAGGCCCTCGTAACTAAATTGGGCCTTTGTCTCATGACAACGACAGAAGAAAAGGGAGACGCTGCTCTGGACTCCGGACTGTACTGCCATTTTGGTAATAAAAGCGATTTATCATGGGAAGAACTGGTAGGGCTTTACAGCTGTCAACAAAGCTGGCCATGCATTGGCATGAGTGCCACAAAGCCAAATCTGTTGAGCAAGTGTGAAGGGCTCTGGGTTTTACACATTCTTCCGTGCTTATGAGCTATGGGACTTCCTGTCTCGGTGGGCCAGCTAAAACAAAGGGGTAGCTGTTTCAACTGCCGTTTTTCATCTATATTGCAGAGCCATTGCCACACAAAAAAATTCTTCCACTCCCAGATGTACAATATTTGCATACAAACATTCTTTCAATCAGCACTTTGACACCTTAATTTAAACACAACTAATACTCTTTACTTAACATAAACACAAAGTTCCTTCAAATTCAGGTATATTACCAGCCACCACGAAAAATTGTGTTTTTTTTACGTCATGGAAAATTAGAGGTGTTTATTTAGACGTAACATAACTTATCCTGATTGTTTTTTCCCTTTCCAAATTTAACCTCTAATACAATTTGTTGTTTTATTATTGCCATTTTCCTGAGTGAAATAAACAACATTTGGAAAGGAAGTCTTTTTAGTTAAGATAACAAACCACTTATCTGAAATTACTTTCTGGGATTATACCTCCATTGGTTTGACAAACAAAATATGCAGTTAAAAATGATTTCGCATTCAAGAGAATATAATTAATTTTTTTAAGTATAAACGAGCTGCACACAAAGAAAAAAACGTTACTAAATATATTTTGTTGTTAACGAAGGGCAGAGACAGGTGGTGAAAAGTGTAACTGATCATTAATGTGGTCTGCCCTCTTGATAGGTTTTAACTATTAGCATTTTTAAGAATGTGTCACTGGTATTATGATGGAGTGGGATAACTCTAAAAAAGCCAAAGTAGACATTAACTGTTGTTGTATTGATCTATTGTATAGAAATTCACTCTATGGTACAGTACTGTAAAACATTTAAATGATAAGTTGTGTATACAAATGAACATTGGGGTGTGAAACTATGTTGTAAATCAGCAAGTTACCTCAGAGGATAGTCTTTGTGTTTTAGCTGCTTTTTTTTCCCTGCTCCACACATTGTAATATATTCCGTACAAGAAAGCGGCATATGTATCTACCACAAACTTGCCATTTCTGGTAATGTACTCAGGCATTAGCTGGCACAGCTGATGTCATTTATGGACATTGCTATGCCAGCTGAAAGACCAACTCTACCTCATCAATAGACTTTGTACACAATAGTTTATATTTATTTTCTCATTTCATTGTCTGTCTAAAAAAGTTCATTATGTATGTTTCACATGAACAAACTCTACCTCAGAAAGCTTCTTATTTGTTTTTTAGAACAGTATTATAAGCAGAAACAAAATGCCAAATGATTTTTTGTTTAACTACTGTACTGTACTAAAAATGTCATGATACAGTTATAATGTGTGTTCACCCAGGTTTGGTTTGTGCAACATGCTTTGGTATTTTCAGATTTGTCATTGTTTTTTAAATAAGGCCCACATGGTAATGTTTGGCTAAAAAGAAAATATCAAACAAAATGATCACATTCTCTATGGGATAAAAAAAAATTACAATAATAATGCTCTTTTTAATTATAATTAAAAAAAGAAAATGAATGGGTAAAGGATTCTTCAGAATTCCATAATAATAGCGGGGGTATTTTTTTACCACCATTATTTTAGACTACAGAGTGATAGTAATTCCGGATACAAAACATCAATGAAAAGTTTCATGGTTACTACGCGGTGTAAATTCAATTCACCGCCTTCAATGTAGCCTATTTAAAAATGACTTTATGCAACTTGGACTTTGACAAAGCAGTTATACTCGTCGTTTATAGCACTTAGTGTTTACTGATTTCCAGATACTTCATTGCTCTGTGGGGATCTTATTTTCGAAATGAGAACAGATACAAAAACAAATGCTATTGCATATTTCTTTTTACATACCACGATCGCACAGTTATTTTGTTGTATCCACAGGCCTATGGCATAGCTACAGCAACAAGTACTTATTGGATTTTTGTTATTTTTAAACCAATGGTGAAATAATGATGCCTGTCACTCAGCTCGTGTTCCCTAAAATCATGTGTGTTCTTCATGGTAATAACCTATAACTTTAAATATTTGCCATTTACATTGAAAGTGACCGGTTTATGAATGTTTAAAAAAAGTATAAGTAAAGTGAAAAATATCACAGGCGTCACAACGCTGCATACAAATAGTGGTTCTTGCAGTTCCTCTGTAGCTTACTGTTGTTGCCTCACTTTGGGCTAAAGGTGTTTCCTCAAAGTCAAGTCAAAATTAGATTGCATTAGATTTTTTTTCTCTTTGTCTAGATTGTTGTTTTAAAAAAATAAGAACTTTTTGTGTTATTTGTTGTACATTCTGGTATTTTAAATACTGTATAGTGACAAAGTAATGAACATACCTCAAATAAAAAGTTAGTGAGTTGGATTTGCAAGCGTGTTTTCTTTATTTATGGAAATTATGACTATTACCTTGAGTGAAATGCATCAATACACACACAGTCGCATGAAGCAATTCATTTCGTATCTTTTATAAAAAATTATAACAGAAAAATACAGAATTCGCTATTTGGATGACATGGCTGTTATCCCCCCCCCCCCCCCAACAAAGAAACGTTAATAACGACACAGTCATTGTGTACAAGAATCGTTAAAAAGAAAAGTTATTTGTCCGATTTGGTTCTGAAGAGAAAACAACGTTGCTACTGGTGTTTCCAATTAACGCATGCCTTCAGTCCTGTAAACGTGCCCCCCAGGCAGCTTTCCATTCTGGTATAAGTGAGTTTAACAAGCAGCTGTGGCCAAAACCCCTGCAGTCGACCCTACTACCAGTGCCGGGCAGCAGGCATATGCGGCGTTAGATGTCTTTTCCACATCCCGATCACCGTTCACAATACTCTGTTCACGAAACAAAACCAAAAATATTATTTGTTTGAAAAATCACCGAGATGACCTCGTGCGTCATAAATACTGACGTATTTAAACCAAAAGACCGGAGAAAGTGTGTGTCTGTGGAGTAAAGTAAGATGCCTTTTGATTTAAAGCTTTCGAGACTGCAGAGATTCATATTCTTGGTTCTTTCGGTAAAGTCACGTAGAAGGGAAACAATAAAAGAATAAAAATATAAAACAATAAAATCCTCACGACGTTTCGACTGCAACACAAGCAATCATCATCAGGTGTGAAAAACACAGCAAGAAAATGTTCTTGCTGCGTTTTTCACAATATAAGATATCTTTCTTATGTTGCCAATCACGCAAACAAGGGGGTTGGGGGGGGTCATCAACAGTACACATTGTCCCTCTGCTAATGCCCCACGATCATAAGCTACTTATTTTTCCAAGTGGTATATTATCAATCTATTAAAAAAAATTGCTTTGCCACATGGCGGGTCGTTCTCTCGTGTGGCTCAAGCATCAGGAGGGTGCCAAACGACAGCGCCTCGTGGGTCTCTGTGACGAAGCTGGAATGTGCAGCCTCCAGCGGCCAGTGCAAGCGACAGCCGTCCATGGCACGGGCGCTGAGCCGTGCCGTTTTACAGAATTTTTTGACAGCTCACCTAAATTACTTCTTTCTTTCGTCGCCACCGCCCCCCCCCCGCCCGTCCGCCAAAACCGAGGAGGTTCACGTACATTTTTTTCCTACTTCTTCTCTCGTTTCTTTGATACAAGGGACTAGAATAACCTGGAACCACTAACAGCGTGGTATGGCATAAAGGCTAATGCGCAAAGGCGGCGTCAATCACGTTTACTTTGCTTCAAGCAGCGAGCGTTCAATTCAAAATGTTGCACTAAGTAGAAGTATGGCTTCGTACAAAGAGAGCCATAATGGTGCTCACGTCTAAAGTAAATCTGGCATACGCTTTTTTAATAATTTAAATGAAGTCAACGATTATAATACGAAAATGCCTTTGTAATCGCTATGCGAAACAAGAACACGCAGGCGTCTCACGACGCGTCAAATTATTTTCTTCTTACAGAACAGTGCAATGGAAGTGGCTATACCCTCAAATAAAATGATTACTGTACTTGCCTTTACGTCAGCTTGCCTTACTTTCCAAAAGCATGTTAGCAAATAACTCTCTCAAACACTCTGGTGTAGAATTCCTTAGCTCCCTTACACATGTAACATATAGCCCATAACCCTCGTTGGGAAAGTAAGAAGAAAAAAGATATGACCTTTTTACACGAAATGTCTTTTCAGGTTTATTCAACATTTGCCATTTGTTCTGTCCGGAAATGCTACAGATGCGACCGAGTTTTACGGAATTTCTAAAATGTGGCATTTCACAAGTTAATGTGAATTAGATGTGCATTTTGATTTCGCTATTCCGTTCTTCCTCAAATATCACAAAACGCTGTAAACCATACAAAAATATAATCTAGATGGACCAGTATGTTAGATATAGCAACGAGCATGTTAGACATAGATACATTCATAATTAATTTCACATTTTCAAGTGGCAATCTGTCACTCTCAGTGAATTAAGATAATGATGGTTATTACTATAATGCAATTAAAAGGTGAAGTAGGTATTTTGGAGTGTCCTCTAAAGAATGTAACTGCATGTTTTTATTTATTTATATCACAGGCTATAGAAAAAAAACAGTTCATTGTCCTTGACCGATATGTTCACATATTGGAGAAGTGTGGACTTTAATGGACTGTCAACGCGGAATATGAATTGTAGGGTTTATATTGCTTCCATTTACACCTGGAGAAACTCAAACAAATACAGTTTTCGATTTTTTTTATACAATTTTATAAAACGCACGATAGATACAATGATATTTTGTTAGGCCACAGATGTATTTCTATGTCTGCAAACACGATGGAAGTGTATTTATATGGTTTACAATACAGAACATCAAAGGTAAATGGTGCAGCCCGGAAAATGTCTTGCTCATGGCACTGCTGGAGGAAGGGCCTCCAGGAACGGGAGCTCTAGAGTATCCTATAGAGTCTAGAGGGTACTTGGACTACTCTTCAATGCCAGCCAGACGAGGTCCGAGTACCCACACTTTACCCCACCATACGTAGCTTGCCGACTGACTGTGGAGAACCCATTTATACTGCGAGACAGAGGCGGGGCAGGGAGGGGGCTTCATAAAATATCTGTATCGTTTCAACTGCCGTGTCTGGAGATCGAACAGGATTGCAAGTCCAGTTTGCTAACTGTTAACACCACAGCAGCATTGTATATTACACAATTGTACAGCAGTAACTATTTCAGATATTTTTTAAGTCATGTATGCATTTATCAGTTTTATTTTAGTCCTGTTTTTAACATTGCGTTGTTGGTGTGCTTGTTTCACTCCGGGACAGTTGTAATCCTCTACGATGCGCAGTACCACAGTCACATTAGTCAGAGATCCAATCCCACAGTATTTGAATATCAGTCTCACAGAGTGGGACTGCAATTTTCATGTCAAGTAATGTTCAGACACTTCCTTAGCATGCAATCATTTTAAAAATATATAACAAGTGACATTACACCACACATTTGTTTGTAAAATGCAGTGTCATTCGCCACTATCGACTAATCCTCCTGTTAACAATAAAAGTATGGCTCGCGCAAATGTGACGATGAGAGTTGTTTGGAGAATTCACGGGCCAGCTCAATGAAAAAAGACACATCGTGCCGTGGTTTCATCAGCCCGGGCCATTATTTAGTGTATCCATCCGAAGCCACGGCATTCCAAGCATCAGTCACCATGAAGACACTGGTGGGCCTCCTCCGTCATAGCTAATCACATTATGCTAATGCAAAGCCATTTGGTAAATGCCAGCAAGGCGCTCGTTACAGCTGCAGCATGAAGGATTGTGCATATTGATGAACCTGGACAATGAGGTGGGTTTTAATTGCCAGACAAAAGGTTATCGTCTGGGCAGGGGTTTAAGCGCTGCTCCGTTTTTTTTTGTAGATTCACATTTTTTTAGACCTGCAATTAGAAGCATTAGTCTGACATTTGAATGGTGCATTTGGTGTACCCATTTGTATTTTTATTGCATGTTTTAAGCTTGCAATTATAAGTAGTAGTAATATATCAACCGATGCATTGCATTTACAGTTTATTTTATTTACACTGCGCTCGAGTATGGATTTTGTTTAGTTTGTAGTGTAGACTTATTTCAAGTGAGGCTACACTCAATAGACACAACCAAAAAGCTTTTCTCAATAAATGTACGTATTCGATATTTCCACTATAATCTCAAATCGAACAAAACATACGTGCATATGCACTTCCCTTTCCAACCCTCTCCACCCAAAAACCTCACGTGAACCGATGCTCAATGAGCAACTGGCCCACCTCACAGACATTTAACACCAATGCCTGTACATGCGAGTAGTAATTATGCAATATAAGAGATGCAAGAGAGGGAAGGGGGTTTAATTACGTAGTAATTATCTGGCGTGGAGAGTGTGGGGTGTGAAGGGAGCCTAACTATCATCCATCAATGTCAGCCTCCCTTGCTTGGAGCTCCTGCGGGCCCTTTTATTACACAGCCACTCCATGGCATTGGAGTGGCTCGTATGAATGTTCTAAGGTGTTTGGAGGGTGCACTTGGATGGGAAAACAGGCCTCTTGTCCTGTCCCTTTAGCTGAGCGGGACACGTGCCTCTAAAGCTTAGTTACCCAGGTTCGTCAAATGCACAATGACTTTTACAAATCCTTTTAGGTGCATTTTTAGATTTTAACTTTTCCAGAGCTCGCCTAGATTGCAGTAAAGCTTACCCGAAGCTTTCAGTATGCTGTCAATGTTTTAATGAATGAAACATTTTTAATTTTAGAGAATCTCAAGAAATAATTTAGAGGTTACAGCATCTCGTTGCGAAATCGACAAACTAAATATGAAAAGTGTGTGATTTTGAGAGATAGGAGGAAAAAAAAATCTACAAACCACGGCAACTTGTATAGTGCCTTGCCCTGTGAACCAAACTCTATGCCCTATGAACCAGAATCAGATCGTCAAGTGACAAAGAAACTTTATGACGGCCAAAATTAATACATTAAAGAAAGGATTTAAAAGGATAGTTTCAAAGCATGTTTAACATTCTCAACCTGGTGCTACACTTGCTAAATGTTTTCCAGATGTCGTGTATTCATGTGTCCCACTATCGAAGGTGTCGGAACAGATACAGTATTTTTCTACAGGCCGGAGAGTAAAAACACCACTGAGAAATGGAGCATTAAAAAGGGTTTCAACCTAATCGCTCCAGTATGGAAGGAGGAATGCGTTTGTGGAGTGGAGGAGGGGGGGGTTTGGAGGGAGGGTGGAGAGTGGTCTGGGGGTTGCTTTGGGTTCAGCCACCTACTCGTATTTCAGCACGACCCTCGGGGAGATGGAGAGAAGGGGAGTCAGGGATAGTGAGGGTGACACAAAGATGTAGAGAGACAGGCGACGCAACCAGGTAAGACAGAAAGT